TTTTTGAGGCATGGACTTCCAGGAATCCCTTCAATTAGTCTACTGCAATCTTTTCCAACCAATCCTAGGGCTCCAACTACAACAGGGATTGTTGATGTTCCCATATGCCACATTTTCCAGATTTCTATTTCAATGTCCTTGTATTTTGACAACTTTTTGAATATCTTCAAAGATACATTGCAGTCCTCAGGGACTGCCATATTAATAAGGAAGCACTTTTTGTTTGTGGTCTTTAATAACAATGTCTGGGCGGTTGGCTTTGATTGTTTTGTCAGTGTGTATTGTGTAGTCTCATAGAATTGTAACAGATCCTATCCCCGTAACCGGGTCTGGGTGGTGTTCATACCAGTTTCTCTTATTATTATTATTATTATTTCCGTTGTATACTCATTTTCTTCCGGGTCCCAACCAGAGACCTAAGGTCAGAAATGGCGACATGGCATTTTCGACTGATCCTTTTTGTAACCCCCACCCCCAAAAAACCCCCAACAACAACAACTAACATCACATTTTACATAGGTAAATCTCTCTGAATTATGTGTCCTTTACTTGTAAGTTCATTTTTTTTTTTAATTTCTTTAAGGCATGGGCTACTAGAAATCTCTTTAATGTGTCTATCGGAACCTTTTCTAATCATTCCGAGTTCTCCAACTACAACTGGAATTACTAATGTCAACATTATCCATATTTTTGTGAATTTTCACTTCAAGGTCCTTGTATTTTCAAAGTTTTGTTTTTGAAGATCTTCAAAGATACATAACAAACTGTAGGGACTGCAAAAAATCACATTCTGATTTTTGGTCTTTGATCACGATGTTTCGATGATTAGCTTTCATTCTTCTGTGTCTATTTTAAAGTCCCATTAAATTGTTTCAGGTCCTATATCTTTAACTGGGTCTGGGTGATATTTATACCTGTTTCTTGCTGTTTCCTTCTCGTAAAATTTGCATAGTTTCCAGTGTAAATATTGGCCCATTCTATCATGCCGTGTTTTGTATTCATTGGATGTTAACACTGTGCAACCTGATACAAGATGGTCAATTGTTTCTGGATATTTATCACAGAATCTGCATTTAGGTTTAACATAATTGTTCAGTATGTGTTCTTGGTAATTTCTAGTTAACAAGCATTGGTCTTGTGCAGCAAGAATAAAACCTTTGGTTGCTGCTTTTAACCCTGCACTACGCGACCACTGATGGGTACGGGATATCTCTACATCAGCCTGTTTGGTAAAAACAGAGTATTAACCCCGAAGGCGCTTATCTTGCCATCGTTTCCGTTATTATTATTATTATTATTATTATTTCCTTTGATTTCTGGCGTTTACATTTCTTTCCGAGTCCCGCCCAGGGACCTAAGGTTAGAAATGGCATCATGACAGTTTCCACTGACATATATATATATATATATATATATAAATATATATATATATATATATATATATATATATATATATATATATATATATATATATATATATATACATAGATGAAGTGTGGGCTGTACTTGTCAGAACAATTTTTGTATCTCTTTGAGGCATGGACTTCCAGGAATCCCTTCAATTAGTCTAATGGAATCTTTTCCAATCAATCCTAAGGCTCCAACTACAACAGGGATTGTTGATGTTCCTATGTGCCACATTTTCGAGATTTCTATTTCAAGGTCCTTGTATTTTGACAGCTTTTTGAATATCTTCAACGATACATTGCAGTCTTCAGGGACTGCCATGTCAATAACGAGACACTTTTTTTGTTTGTGGTCTTTAATAACAATGCCTGGGCGGTTGGCTTTGATTGTTCTGTCAGTGTGTATTGTGTTTATTATTAGTAGTTTTGTGTTTATAGCTGGATATTGAGTGGCAAATATCTCTTTTCACCTCCAGAACCTTGCCCAGTATCATCGAACTCTCAGCACTGTCGTGATTTGGGCAGGCTTAATTCCCTAGAATCTGTAATTCATTAAATCGTGATTTTTTCTTTTATAAAAAAAAATCCTTTGTTATTGTTCCACGAATCCAAATATCCATGGCATGATAAAATTATTTTTTCCTAGTTTTCTTTGCTCCCAGGCGAGGTCCTAGTATATTTTTCTTTGTCCGTCAGGTTTTCTCTCTCGGTGACCTGCTGACACAGTCACGACCGCTATCTGGCTAACTCACTTTTCCATGTTGACGAATATCGAATTCGCTGTGTGTGTATTTCAAAGTCCAAGTGTCATTTTTTTCTCACTCGCATCATTCTGGTTTGTTTTAATGCTTATTTGATTGTACTCAAACAAAAAAAAAGCTTCTTTCCTGTATGTGTCATAAAACATTTTTCTGCTGAGAATGTCATTATGATACATAAGCGTATTCTATGTTTCACAACTTGAGCGATCGTCGGACTATGGTCCGACGATCGCTTAATCTATGAACCTGTCACCTTTCAGTGTTGATTTAAATGTTCAACCTATCCCCAAAATTAAGCAATCTTCCTTTATAAAATATTGGAAAATGAAAATTTTCTCTCTCTCTCTCTCTCTGTCTGTCACACACACACACATACTTGAGTTAAGGCACTGCATCCAACTTTTCCCACTTTTCATACACACATGTACTATATATATATATATATATATATATATATATACACGTATATATATATATATATATATATATATATATATATATATATAAATATATATATATATATATATATATATATATATATAAAATATATATATATATATATATATATATATATATATATATTTATATATATATATATATATATATATATATATATATATATATATATATATATATATATATATATATATATATATATATATATATGTATATATATGTATATATATATATATATATATATATATATATATATATATATATATATATATATATATATATAGTGTATATATATAGTACATATATATATTTGTATATATATATACATATATATATATATATATATATATATATATATGTATATATATATAGTACATATATATGTATATATATATATATATATATATATATATATATATATATATATATATATATATATATATATGTATATATATATGTATATATATATATATATATATATATATATATATATATATATATATATATATATATATATATATATATACATATATATATATATATATATATATATATATATATATATATATAGTACATATATATGTATATATATATATATATACACACACACATATATATATATATATATATATATATATATATACAAGTAACAAATCTGTTCATATATAATCCAAGTGGATCCTAATAATATAAAATATTAAAACTGATCCTCAAAAAGAGCTCAATGTATTTATTACAACAGACCATATAAATTACATAACAGAGAAATCTAAAATTACCTCATGAGTATAGACTATTTTACCTAACGTCAATGCGTTTGAGTCGAAAAACGCTAACGCATCGATGTTAGTTGAAATAGTCTTAACTCATAAGGTAATTTTGGATTTATATATATATATATATATTAATGTGGATAGATCAAATAACTAGATATTAGCAACCGTATATACGTTCGCATAGCGTGTATGCACAGGTAAGCGAATAAATATTTACTCAATTTAAGGTGCTCAATGTGGTTAGAAAGAGCTAAGAAGTATATATCAATATATATACATATACCTACGTTTGAAGTGCAACTTAAAGTTTCGTTGTTCTACCAACTCATAAAATGAATAAAGACAAAAGGAAAAACCTTTTTCAGAAAAAGGAGAGCTTATCTTGACCAACGCGTTTCGTCCTTTGATGGACTTCAGTCATGTAAATGTAAGGATTTTATTTTGCAACGTTCATTTATAAACAGAATTAAAGATATCGTTAGGTTTTCAAAATGTTTTAATTTAAGAACACTTATAAGTATTCTTCAGGTTAACTGTGAAAGTCAAGGTAAACTATTGCGGGGGGGCTAAATGATGTAATTTAATGCCTAATAAACAAAAGTGAGTCAATATTCTTCTTGTTGTTGAATCCTTTTTTGTTTAAATCTACACACACCCACCCACCCACACACACACACACATATATATATTGTTTATAAACAACCATTCTTCGACGATCTTACCCAAGCGATCATATCTGCTCACGAAATGTACCTTAACGTAAACATTGACAACATATTATAAAATGGATTAAGTCCAACAATTACTTATTATATTTTCTGTTTATACGTTATTTTATTAGATACAATTCATCTAAATAAAATTACTGTCTGAGAAGCATATATATATATATATATATATATATATATATATATACATAGAATAAAATTCCAAAGTTACCTCAGTCGAATAGGTATTTCAACCTACAAGATTTACTTGTAGGTCTTGACAACACAGAGGTATGAAGAAAAAAAATGTATTTTGTGTAATTTATATGCTCTGTTATAAATACATTGAGCTCTTTTTATGGATCAGTTTGAATATTTTATATTATTAAGATTCATTTGGATTATATAACAAAGGATTATTACCTTATATATATATATATATATATATATATATATTTGTGTGTGGGGGTAAAATCATGTGGAAAGAGTTGGATGATGTAGTTGCTTAACTGTTAATATTTAACATCTCCCCCCTCACGAGGGATGTATGAGGCACAAGACAGATTTTACCGTGGGTTCTCGGAGCCCGTGGGCTCAGCCAAAAAATTCCCTTAGAATCCATATAGATGTCTATGTTTCTGAGATGAGGTATTATGTACATTATTTAAATTATTCTGACTATTGTCCTCATCTTTGTTGCCATATTTATCACAATATTTCGGTCGTTGTACGCTCCGGCCTTCTTCAGGTGGTTGGAATGTCGAACTGAACTCTTCATTTCGCTCACTGGGGTAGACTGTTCTAGTTCCACGTGCCATGTTTAATGGATGTCAGTTATCTTCTGTTAATTTCCATCTGAAAGTTCTCCACTGCCTTAACCGGGTATTGAACTCACACTCTTTGGGTCCTGTTACTGGATCTAACCAACGCCTTTAGACACTGTGCCATGTGTCCTTGAACAGATTACCACAGTGAGTGAAATAAAGGGTTCAGTTCGACTTTCCAACCACCTGAAGAAGGCCGGAGCGTACAACGGCCGAAACGTTGTAATAAATATGGCCACAAAGATGAGGACAATAGTCGGGATAATGTAAATAATGAACCTGTGTAAACTTAACTGTTAAATATTTGTAATACTCACGTTCATCCGATAAAGACTCAAGTGTCTTTTAGGTTTGAGGATTAGAGTTAAAATAAATGAATGATCTGTATAATGTAAAGTGAGGCTTATGAGGATATGTAAGGTTAACATTCAGTAACCTTAACTTGAAGGGGTTAAGATTGTAGCTTTCGGGGGAGCATCCACTTGGGAGTCTGTTTCATAAAGCAGCCGCTCTTGGTGGGCGAAGTTGTCTGAGTGGAACTTCCTCCTTGCAATTGGAATACGGAGAGAGTGACCGTGGACGCAAAATAACGGGTTGTTAGCAGTAAAGCTCTGAATTTGCGGAGCACAAGAGTCGAACTCTTTTTGTCATTTCTTTTTACCTATTTAAGTATCCATGGACACGTGGCCGAGTGGTTAGAACACTCGTATTCTGACTATGAGACCCGGGTCCGAATCTCACCAAGGTCGATTTGTCAGAGAGTTCGAGTCTTGTGCTCCGCCAATTCAGACCTTTAATAAGATCCACGTTATCTAGCCACGCTCACTATCTCCGTATTCCAATTGCAAGGAGGAAGTTCCACTGAGACAACAGGAAGGAGACTTCCTGATGTTATCGGACTGAAGGGGTTCGATCCCAGCGCGCAGCACCTTTGCTTGAAAGTGCCTGAAAACCATACCACGAGTTAACCCAAGATTTATGGGTAAATTTGGGTAGTCAACAATTTGAACAAGGCCTTGTTCAAATCGCTAATCACGCTAGATAACATGTTCTTTCCCATAAACTGTAACTAAGATACTCTCAGGATAATTGCAGTATAAACAACAGGTGGGCTCTGAAATAAACACAAATGCACGTGACCAAGAAACTGCAATAGGGATTGGCTAGCCTCCTTACAAATGGCCAGCTATATATGGCCAGATATATACATATAGTTAAGTATCCCATCCAGTCATGCACTTTTGATATCACTGGCAGCGATAAGCATAACAGACGAAAAAAAAATAATTACCAAATTTTTTATATATTTAATTTTTTTTTTGTTTTCCTCAATCAGGAAACTACTTTTTTTATATATTTACTAAAAGCAATAAATACATGTAAGCATATATACATAGCCTATATTTACTTTCTTTTTATGTGCCGTGTCCTTTCAGGACGTAGGCGATCATGGCTCTCCACTTCTTCCTATCCCTCTCAAGTTTCATCCCTCTGCCACCTCCCGTCATCCACTTGCCTAAGCCCGACAGGTATGTCATGCGTCGCTTTCCCTTGTCTCGCTCTTTCCCTCTACTCGACCCGTGAGTATTACATTCTCCAGGCTTTCCTTCCTCGTTACGTGTCACAGAAACTTCAACTGCCTCTTCCTGATATTAATATTAGGTTGGTGCGAAAATAATGACGTAATAATGTCGTTTTTTGACTTTAAAAAATAAGTTAAAAACGACATTATTACGTCATTATTTTTGCACCAACCTAATAAAAGCCTCTGTTTGCTTCCTTTCCAAGACCTTAACACGCTCGGTCCATGGTATCCTCAGCATCCTTCTGTAGAACTACATCTCTGTCGCCTCGAGTCTCTTTTATATATTTGAGGAAATCGTCCAACATTCGCTGCCGTAAAGGAGGACAGATGTCACGTAACAGCTCAGTACTCTTTTTTTTTTTTTTACCAAAGAGATCCTCCTGTCTCGAAATACATCGCCCAGCTTTTGGAATGTGTCCTTGGCCATCCCAATACGTCTACGGATCTCAGAGTCGCACTTACCGTCCTCTATCAAGACGTTTCCCAAATATTTAAACTTCCGCCCAATGGTGTCCCCGACCTGCAAATCGCTTTTCAGGCTTATTTTTTTATTGATAACCATGCATTCTGTCTTCTTGTAGTTTGTGCTTAGTCCCTTCTTCACGCTCTCCTTCGTTATCTTCTGTAGGAGGTTTTGTAATTGCTTTTCCGTTGTCTGCTATTAGTACAGTGTCATCTGCGTATCTTATGTGGTTAAAATCGTGGCCGCCGTGGCTTACAATTTTATAACTCTTTCCTGCTATTTAACCCATAGCGGTAGTGACGGATTCATAGCTTTCCCCATAAGCAGTTGTGGGAAAGTGAACGCAATATGCTAGCCGAAATTTGAACTCGGCTGACGGATTCACGTTGAAAACCTGTATACGTTACACTACCCAGCTGTATATCCATCTATTTCACTATCTCGTATATATAATTTTCAAATGAACATAACCAGTGTGTATGAGAAAAAAGATGAACACAACAATTTTCTGTCTTAGAAAAAAACAGGACACTGATGATGACACTGTGATAATGTCGAAAGTACTCGGAATAAAATGAACATGCATTAAAATGGCAACTCTCTCCGTTTACTAAGGATACTAAGAAACTTGTTCGTAATTTTGAGAGGATCCTTACAAAACTTATCTAAATTATTTAAGGAGACATGACTTTATATATATATATATATATGTATATAGTTATTCACAAACGTTTCGCTGTATTGCAGCTCATTAGCGTGGCTAGACATACTGTAGCTTCAAGACGGGATAGAAACCGACCGATTTGGTATCAATCAGAGATCCTAACCCGAAGCTATTGGTACACGGCAGAAAAGAGAAATTTTACCGTATTATATACGTAATGTATACAAACGTCATCTCTCTCTCCCACTCTCGCTATATATATCGCTATATATATATATATATATATATATATATATATATATATATATATATATATATGGGAAATGTGGGATAAAGATTTATAAATGTCAATATGTCAAGGACAATTTTTGGAGAAATTTTGGTCAGCATAAACTCAGTTCAATGAGGAATGAAAGGATGAAACACGTCACATGACAACTTTTTCCCACTTTGTCATACAAAATTTATATATATATATATATATACATATATATATATATATATAAAAGTGAATATTTAAGTCAACACTTAGAGGCGATAATCTGTTTCATGCTAGACGCAATACGATTGCGTCTAGCAGAAACAGACTGTCGCCCCTAAGTGTTGACTCAATGTTTACTTTTATATTTACACACGCTCTATGTCTGATATTTAGCACTTTATCCCATAAATATAAAACACCTTAAACATATATATATATATATATATATATATATATATATTAGCTGTTGCATTTTAAATCAATTCACTGCGAATATTTTTTCTCTACTTACTCGTATACCTTATTGTGTCATTAATGATTCTGCGATGATTGTTGACATTCTCTATAATATATATATATATATATAAAGAGAGAGAGAGAAAAAGTGCTCAATATCTGTGATAAATCTAACATATTCTGTTGCATGGATAGGAGTTTGTAATTTAAAGCGTAATTTTTAGTGGATACACGTATTTGAAGTAGACGCCCTGTTTTTATTTTCATTACTGCGTCTTGCATCTCTCAGCCTGTGCACCCGAGAAAACTTAATAAAGAAAAATTGCTCTCCGATCCAACGTGTAGTAAACAGCTCGGCCACAGAAAACGTCACGACCCACCAAGGTTCTATTTCCCTTTTTAAACAAAGTACATTTCTGCATTCGTATTTTTCCTCTAGAACCCGTATCAGCTCAGTGTCGTATACGGAACGTAAATAAAGCAATTAATAAAGAATTAATGGATTTATTTTTAATCCGGCATTTTTATTACGTTATTACGGTATTTTTTAGTTGTACCCGTATTTGAAATAGACGCCCCTATTCTTATTTTATTTTAACTAACTTTTATATTGATGATGCGAGGCGGGAGTATAGCATTATATATAATAGAAATATCATATTCCCCGCCATATTGGTTCAGAATATTTTCCAAGTCTCTCGTCAGCACGCTTCTCGTACTGAACTCTGTTAATATGGTTGGTTTGTTTTCCTGTGAATTTATGCTCTTCCGTCGCTATACTTACCTGGCTTATGTCAGAGGGTCTCCCCCAGACGAGGCTCGGCCGAAGGGCAGAGTGTCGTCTTGGGAAACTGACTCCGTTTTTACTTGGTTTATAGGGAATTTTTACCCGAGTCTACGGGCTCGGATACCCGACTTTAAACTCGCCCTTGTGCCACATCTTGCTGCGTTGGGCAGCGGATAAATAATTATGCGCTTCCGTCGCGTCCCAGAGACTACGATCAAAGTGTTGTATCTGTTCCGCGGACATAACCAGCTAAGACAAACCATGTGAACTATGGGCTTCCATAGATAAATACCCATCATCTCTGTTAAAGCTTAATTTATAAATCAACCATTAATATTAATAAAACAGACCAATTATAAAGATATTTTGCAATAAATGTTATCGCACGGAATGAAGATTAATTCTTTTTTCCTTTTTTTTTTTTTTTTTAAATCAATTCACCCCACCAAGGTGATAATGCCACTAAGACGCAAGAAGTTACTGAGCGTGAAATATTGATCCATTTCCTATATTTACAGGTTATTTAAAGCCGGAAAATAGTTTTAGATTGTAAGAATTCTTTTTTGAGATAATAAAGGTTTGATGATACAAGTCTTACTAATTAACCCATAGCTGGGGGAGAAGAGGTGGATTCATACGTTTCCCCACAGTATTGGCTTGTAAGTGAATATAATGAACCCAATTGGAATTGGAACTCCGTTCGCCGATTAACAATTCTGAGCCATTATCCATTACACCACCTGCTCATCCATGCTTACAGCACCTAGTATTCCCAAGCAGTCACCCATCTAGGTAATGATTAGGCTCGACGTTGCTTAACTTTGATAATCGTATGGAAACCAGCGTTTCAATGTGGTTTTTAAGCCCGTGTTCCAAGTAGTATAATGGACTGGAACAAGATAGAAAGTTCCAAATAACATTCTTGAAGCTTCCTTAAAGGCTGTTGCATTGAGTGGCCGTTAGTAGGCTGAGAGTGATAGCGAGTATATAGTATATAGTTTAAGTAGACTTTAGAAGGAACCGGAAATCTAATCCTAAACAGGAAACAAGAGATAAACATCTACAATTCCAAAAAATTATGTACTCCTAGTAATGGAAGAAAATAAATAAAAAAAAACATTTCAGAGTTTAGGCGGAGACTTTAGAAGTATAGGGTTGAAGTAGACTTTAGAATGAACCGGAAACCCAATCCTAAACAGGAAACAATGGATAAACATCTACTATTGAAAAAACCTATTTACTCCTACTGAAGGAAGAAAATAAATAAATAACATTTATGAGTTTAGGCGGAGACGTTAGAAGTATAAAGTTGAAGTAGATTTTAGAAGGAACTGGAAACTCAATCCTAAACAAGAAACATAGGATAAACCTCGATACCCGTTGAAAAAGATAAACCAAAACAAAACAAAACAAAACAAAACAAGGAGGTATATGAACCTGACGATAAGTTTGGTTTGCTTTATTTTGTTTTACGCCATATTAACCTCAATGTTTTATTTAATACCGACAAAATTTTGATTGCTGGTAATATTTAAAAAAAAAAAAATGTATTGCTGGTAATATTTTTTCTTCAAAAATTCATTGTTGGTAATATTTTTTTACAAAAATATATTGCTAGTATCAAAACCTATTTTTACACTTTCATAATGCTTTGACCTCAGTTTGGGGGTTAACTATTTGCCCATAGCTGGGACCCTAACAGGTGGTACCACCCCGGGTCAGGGTGGACCTGGGAATACCAGCAATTAAGAGATGGTTCCACCCTTCTCAAAACCTCCCAATCAGAGTCTGTTTGATGTAGTCTATCGTCTTACCCAGGACGCGGGTGTAGTTTATTTTCTTACCAAGGACACCCTGACGATAGGCGAACCTTTTTATTCCTATTGAGAGAAAAGAAAAACACTAAATAAATTTCAGGATTCAGGCAAGTTACAAGTATATAGTTTAAGCAAACTTTAGAAGGAACCGGAAACCCAGTCCTGTTCAAATCACAAGGGAGGTGTGTGAACCGGGCGATCTTACATTAGCTCTTATTCGGGTCTAATATCTCAAACATACACACCCATACACTTATGGTACATTAATACACTTTAACATACTCATTTGAAATGTTATAGTAAAAAAATAAACAATTCTTTTTTCACCTATGACCTCCTTCATGTGTGTATCGTAAGGTTTAAATTTTGAATGAAAACCTTTATTCAGTCGACTATTAATTGTCTATACAAGAGGAAATAAATTCTGTCAGTGTGTCCTTGGTATATTTCACGTCTCTTCAAGAGTTATAATCTTCTTTTATTGTCGTTCCCCTTCACGATGTAGGCGATCATGGCCTTCCACATCTTCCTGTCCCTGGTTGCATTTAATAAGTTTTGTCGTTTTTTTTTTTTTTTGCTTTTTCTCCAAATCCCTGTTCACCATCCATTTTCTCAAGCCCATCAACTAGGTTACACGTTGCTTTCCTCTGTGCCTCTATCTGACTTGTGAGTATCAGATTTTCTGAGCCCTCCTTACGTGTCCTAACGGTCTTTTCCAGATGTTAAGTATAAGTTTCCTCTTTGTTTCCATTCTCTCCAAAACCCCATCGTTGCTCACATGTTCGGCTTTCTTTTTGCATTCCTCTTCAGCTAACAAGGAACGGTCTCGCAAAGTTTTAGACTTTTGTTTGGAGCCTGTTACGAAGTTATTGTAACTCTGTAATCTACTATTTTTGTGACCCTTAACCCCAAACTGACCTCTTATCCTTAAAATGTTCATAACGTTATGGTGACAGAAAAAAGTCCACATCGATCTAATAAATATATGAATATGAATACTTTTTTTTTCACTTAATATCTAGAAGGTTTTTAAAAAAAATTTCGTATTTTATTACGGTATATTTCCGCGTATAAGTCGACCTACAAATATTAAAAATGACACCGACAAAATATGAGGTCGTCTAATACTACAGTTAAAAAAAGCTAACCTTAAATCCTGTGGTGTATCGGCACTAGTAAGTAGGCTAGTGTACTTGCACCACGGATCCTTCGTATGGTAACTATCGATGTAAATATTTCTAGACATTATCCATAACACCACCTCTACATCTAAGTTTATAGCATGTGGTATTCTCAAGCGATCACTCATATAAGTATTGACCAGGCTCGACGTTGCTTAACTTCAGTGAATGTACGAGGACCGGTTTTTCAACGTAAGCCTTTGCGAAGACGAATTACATAATAACTTAGATTTCATTTTGGCATGGGCAGGAGAAGATAAACAATCTCCTCCCGAGGACTGAATAAAGAGCACAGTTCGAAATTGCCATAAGCTTGCCAACTAAGACGGACACCTGAAGAAGACCAGATGAAACAACGGCTGAAACATGACAAAAAAAAAATGAAGAAATTAACCTGAATAAAGGAATATAATACAATAGTCTAAAAATTCCAAAAGAACATATACACTTATTTAGCAACATATATATATATATATATATATATATTTAAGTTATAAAGAACTTGGTAATCCGTATGGGTAATCCCAAGGAAGATGAAATCCTGAGAGCTCAATGTAAATCCAGAGCTAATGTTTAAGAGAAAAACAGACCACTTTAAGGTACCATTATAATAATTTATTTCATCAGAGCCGTTTTAAAGGATGCCGGATCATCAGATAGCACTTCCAAAAATGAAGAAATATAATCTTAAGGTGTGCTATATTTATGGGATAAAGTGCTCAATATCAGAGATAGAGCGTGTGTAAATATAAAAGTGAACATTGAAGTCAACACTTAGAGGCGACAGGCTGTTTCATGCTAAGCACAATCGTCAGGCCATATATATATATATATATATATATATATATATATATATATATATATATGATGCCTTGATGGTGATGATGTGCTAATGTCGAAAGTATGTTGAATAAATTGATATCAATCAACATGGAAAGTTTCACACCTGAAGCGATCGCCAGGCTGTCTGACGATCGCTTCAAGCGTGAAACTAACGGTCACTATGCCATGTTGATGTCAATGTTCATACGATCCCCAATGTGGATTGATGTAGCGGGATCAGTGTCAGCCGATATCTGGTTAAAGGAAAACATATCTGAAAGATCTTACAGAAATTATTTCGATAGATATTGTCTGGGCGATTAGCAACAAAGTGAACTGGACCTCACAAGGACCATGTCAAACGACCCTTACAAAATTGGTCACTGAGTGAAGCTAGATCCTGAGGACTTGATTGACATTTTCAGATGAAAGGTGACAGGGTAAAGAACGCTGGTCACTAGCAGCCAAAATCCGCGGACCGCTTACCACAACGCGAAAAGGACATTCTAAGACAGAAATTGTACAGTACACAACCTTGGCGTTTTTCACATGACAAATAAAAAAAAAAAAAAAAAATTAACTTGCAGATGAACACAACAATTTTGTCTTAGGAAAATGATCAAAACTACAATTTTTTCTTGATTTTCAGACGAGCACAATGATTTTATCTTAGGAAAATGGTGAACTCAACAATTTTTGTCTTAGAAAAAAAAAACAACACCTTGATGATGACGTGCTAATGTCGAAAGTACTCTGAATAAATTGATATCAATCAACATGGCAATTTTCTCTCTTCCTTTAATAAGGGTACTAAGAAGCTTGTCCGTGGATATGAAAGGATTCTATTGAAAATAAGTAGACAAAACTTGTCTAAATTAAATTATTTAATGAGACATGATATATGATATTATTAGTCAATATATATATATGATCTTATTAGTCTATATATATATATGATATTATTAGTCAATATATATATGATATTATTAGTCAATATATATATATATATATATATATATATATATATATATTACTATTAGTCAATATATATATTTCGAAGAGGATAAAATCTATGTACAAGACAGAGCAAGAGTATCATATAAAAGGCTCAAACACTAATATTCCATGGTTGTAATTTATTTCATTGAAATCATAATCATGATCCAATTCATCAGAATAAAAAAAATCGGGAATTAAGATCAAAGCACCAAATGATGTCTACTGATATTACATTTAAATTTTTGAAGAATATAATGCAAGAGAAGAAGCTGTTGGAGTAGAAGGGGCGGTTACCGAGATGTGTACCTAATGGCACGCTTAAATTCATGCAGTCGGAGCACCAATGAAAAAAGTTCGTCAGTGCAACTGTCATGAAAATATTTGTAGAAAAGACAGAGGGAAGTCACATTACGTCTGTGAGAAAGTGACTGGAGTCGAGATGCCAGGACAAGACCTATCACGTTGCGTATTCGTCTTTGGATTTTGTCGAGAACTTGGAGATGAACATCTTTTCATCACCCATCGTAGCAATATTTAGATAACAAATAAAAGGAAGCTGTGGAGGGCTATGATCACCTCAAATTTTGGCAGGAAAGAAATAGCAAAAAAATGAAAATGATAAGTATTAAAGGAACAGATTAAACCGAATTAACTGATTTTCTTCCACACTATTATTCAGCATTATATAATATTGTTCACCCACGACCAAAACGGGGAGTGTTATAGAATATTGTTCACCCAAGACCAAATAGTAGAGCATTATAGAATATTGTTCACCCAAGACCAAATATTAAAGCATTATAGAATATTGTTCACCCAAGACGAAACCGTAGAGTGTTATAGAATATTGTTCACCCAAGACCAAAACGGGGAGTGTTATAGAATATTGTTCACCCAAGACCAAATAGTAGAGCATTATAGAATATTGTTCACCCAAGACCAAATATTAGAGCATTATAGAATATTGTTCACCCAAGACGAAACCGTAGAGTGTTATAGAATATTGTTCACCCAAGACCAAAACGGGGAGTGTT